CACATAACATAGGCCCACAGACATACATAGGAGCACGCACACACACAGATAAACACAGACATACACACAGGCCCCAGATGCATACAGAGGCACAGACACAGAGGCACACAGACACACACACCACATAAGGGAAAATGTGTAGACAAAGATAGACGACTCAGGAACCTCTCACAGGAACGCTTGTGAAATATGTGTCTTAATGAAGCCCTAATGAAGCTCCTGCTGCCATTGTAGCTGCAGTTACAGCTCTTCAATCTCTCATCTCTCTACCCCTGACGCTCACTCTCCCTTTTTAAATACGTAAGCCCTTAAAGGCATCTGCTTCCAGCAGAGACCATTTCCATCAAAAGTCAAACTTGGATCCAGGTACTAGACTCATGCTCACTTGTGTTTTACGAAGCAGTGTCTTTGTAGTTTCTTTCTTAAAAAATTTTTTCAAGGCAGAGTTTCTCTGTGTAACAGAGTTTTCTGCTTTTAGGAGCGCTTAACCTAGTTAGGAAATGTAACACTTTCCTAAGCTACTAGCTAAATGACTTCTTCCACCAAGGAAGGGCACCTCCAAAGAACTTTCAGTTGCTCTATTTTTATTTTCTGAAGGTCTTTATAAGTTGATTGATAAGGCGTCCTCTTGTATATTGAAAGGAAGTTTGTGCCTGCTTACTTCAAAATTTGTTGCAACTCATCCGCAGCCCAATGCAACTTTTCCCATCCTGTACTTCCTGCTTATTAATCATTTTTGCATTAAATAAATACTGTAGCAGACAGATTGTTTGTCAGGTGGGTCAGTCCTGGTATGGAAAGCAGGTTTGTTTATTTAGTTACTTATTTTCTCCTTCTGTAGTTCTTACTTTGTGTTGCTTTGTAAAAGTTTTTGTTTCTTGTCCCCACTGATGCATAAGGGGAACTTGGGGGTTGTTTTTCAATCTGTTTTGGCCTCAAATTCCTGATAATCTTGCTTTATTTTCAGGCTGTGTTATACGTATTAGCTGAGTGGGAAGTAGGCAAATCTCCTTTCCCAAAGCTTTGAAAACATGATTAGAAGGGACGTGGAGGTGGTGGGAGATGGTGGTGGCAACCAAGAGTGACACTTCCTTCTTGTGGAACATTGAATTGCAAATTGATTGCAGACTTCACATGGCTTAGCCTATAGTTTAAAATGGAACAAAGCTCTGCAGCAATGCAGATTTCCCCCTCCTGGCTCCCGCCCCTTTGGGCCAAAACATTTCAGTTGTCCATTGCTCTTCAGGAAAAAAAATGAAATGAAAGGTACTATTTATTTCAGTAGGTGTTGATTACGGCAAGGGTGTGGTGAAATGGTGGTTCCAAAATAGTGTCACAGTGGGTCATTTCTGTTTCCATGTCTACCCTGATAACTGACTTGTTGACATACAATAAAATATGGTCTTTAACGATGGGATTCCCAGAGTTCTCTCACCCCCTTGTAATCATGTTTACTAAAGAAATCATCTTTATCTTCAGTTTTCCAGTTGCACTTGGAATTTTTTCCATGCAGTTAAATCTGTAGCTGACTTAGGACAGGGAATATTTTGGAAACAAACATTATTTGCTTTCTGCTCTGAAACTTCGGGAATTTTATAGTAGGGTTTATAGAAGAATTTTATTTTGAAATGATGCTATACACACATCTTTCCTTCCTCCTCCTTTCCATGGACAGTTACCTTAACCAGCATTTCATACAAGAGGATTAACCTGTAGTCTAGCTGTCAGAAAAAGGAAGTACAGTAGTGTGGGGTAGGGTGAGGTAGAGGCAACAAAACAAAAAAACCAAAGATGTGTGTGAGAGAGCGTGCATGTGTTTATGTTCTACAATACATGCAGAGGTCATGTGTGGGAATTTTCTGCTGTGTGTGTCCTGGTGATCAGCACATGGCAGTCATGGCTGGCAGCAAGCACCTGAACCTGCTGAGTCCTTCCCCTTCCATTCTGTTGTGTGGCCCAAGATGGCCTCCAACTCCACATCTTCTAGCCCTGAGGTTCCTGAGTCCTGGGATTGGAGCTGTGTGCTATGCTCTTGGAGAAGGTCTGAGTTTGGTTCCTGGCACCTACATGCTGGCTCTCAGCCACCTGTACCTCCAGTTCCAGAGGATCTTCTGGTACTTATGGGCACTATGCATTCTCATAAAACACAGACACACAGGTAGTTAAAACACCATATATACAGCAAAATAAATCTGAAACATGGATAAAATGCACACACAGTGAAAAAATTAATTTATGGAGTACAATAGAGATGGGAAGAATGATTCACCCTGCAAGTAGTACCCAAGGATTGTGCGAGGGAGAGAAAGGGCAGCAGCTTGCCTATGGACTCATTTTACCCAGAAATCCCTTGGGAAGTTCCATGACTCCATCCTTACCACATCACACCTAGAACCATTCAGCAGACTTGAGTAATGGATAGAGACATTGAGCACACATTTTCATTACTTTCACCCTTCATCACTAAGTTTTCAGGTTAATACCAGGAAATATCACAAATTCAGATTCATCTTTGTGAATCTGAAAGTATCAGAAGTATCACAAAGTCAGATTCCTGACTGTTGGCTTCTTTTTTATTGGTTGAAACTTGCTTCTTGTAACACAGTGTCTCCAGAATGGACCTTAGTTCCATAGGTTTGTTGGAATCTGGCCTTTGTTGGTCCTAATGCTTAAAATACCATGGAAATTATTAACTCTAAGAGCCTGGGATGAAGCCTTGGCAACTAGCCAGAGCTCCTTTCTCCCTCTGCTGTGTTTAGAGCACTAGAACCAGAGTTTAATTAATTTTTTGATTAAGGGAAATCATTACAGATGGTATTTAGGTAGGCTGTGAAGTAAGAAACGCTGGATTTTGAAACTTGCCCTATTTGAGTTTAGAAAGTTCAAGGGATTAACACCAAGGGTTAGAAATGGCCAGCTTCAGATTCTAACCTGTCCCCAAATGCTCATTGACCCCAAAGCCATCATCAGGAGAAGGGTATTCAGCTGGGCCTTTGGAATTTCAGAATAATTGAAGGTTGGATAGAATTGCCCTCCTGCTCTGAGCCTAGGCCCTGT